TATAAATTCATGAAACTTTTTCAAATGAAACAAATGAAGCCAGAACACTTCAGTATAGTCTCACTATAAAGTCCACGAAAAACAGCTCTTCAGGAAAATAAGTACAAAGAAAGCAACACATGCACAGCATTTTAATTGCAAAGTGAAAAACCACCAGCTGTAGGTTAGAGCTCCAGGTGAAGGGAAGGAAGGAAGAAAAGAGTAAGAATAAAAAAATAAACACAAGAAAAGCAACACATACGTCAAAAGTTTTTGGGCCAACAACACTGAGAACATCACAGATGTGAAGACGAGCGATAAAAACAAGTGATTGAAAAGCTTGTAACAATCTAATCTTTTAGTTTGTTACAAGCAGTAAGTAAAGCTAAGCAGTAAAAAGTAAGCTCTAAGTTAAGAACCAACCACAATACTTGCAATGAATGAACAAAAACAACTTTTGACTCTTTTAATAGCAAAAACACTTGTGTGTGCTCACAGGATTCAACAAAGGTCCCATCATCATGAGTAGAACAACTTGGTTAAACCACTTCTTTGGGCCTTAAACAGAAGATGAAATAAAGACAACATTCAACAGATATATTTTATCACTACATAAAGGCCTTTGTGTGTGTCAAGGTTGTGGTTTCTTCAGTGCTAATGCCAACGCCACAATGGAATAAAGAACATCGCTTCAAATCACTTGGCCTCAGATCTGCCAATCCTGGCGGAGGTTGTGGTCACTTCCATGGCCTCCTGCCCACCTCCCATAACCACCTACAACACACACACACACACACAATTGTAAGGTTCAAGGAACTGTTGATCTACTAGGATATACATTGTACATCGACAAATTCATCTTACGTGATCCATGATTGGAGAAATGGCGGCAGAGTTCACCAGTCTTTCTGTTTATAAAGTCTTGATGTGATCCAGAGAGGCAGAGTCAAAGAGCTGCGGAGATAACACATGGTACTCAGTCTTTTGCACAACACGTACAGCAGTGATCATCAACTGTCAGTTCAGGTCTTGGATTCCAAAACAAACATTAAATAATAATTTCATTTTTACTCCACTCTATCTGGGCGGCCGACGTAGAGCCTTTAACAGCATCACACTGTCATCTCTCTTCAAGGCCTTAAAGTCACAGACAGTCAAGTCACTTAGCTTTATTGGACTGCAATCTGTCAACATTAGAAAGTAACACAAAACCATAACAGAAACAGGTTATTTCAAACTGTACCACTCATATCTCCTAAGATGTACCTCAAATATTCTAAATCCTAGACTAAAGGTAGACTAAAGACTAAATGTCGTAAATAAATGGGACAAGTGGACACATTCAAAGTAACCACACTTACTACTGTGTGGTTCTTTTGTCAATGCTGACTTCAGTTTACACATACTTGTATAACAAACTATCAATAAATATCTTCAGATACATTTCTGTTGTTCTACTTTGGTCTCAAGCACAAATGACTGGAGGATCACCTCACAATTCCATACATATATAAACAACATCTTTTTTCTTTGTTGCAGACTTCCATTAGGCAACTGGACATGACATTTTCACTCAACAGAGGAGGTGGTCTAAGACACAACCTATCACCCACACACTGAAACCATTCTGACGAGGATTACAACGACCCATCAGACTCCTAATGACTGTTAACACTTCCCCAGATGACCGACCAGACAGGAGGGACCTGAAGTAGCTATATTATTTGTCCCACCCACAGTATATATTAGAACTGAAGAGGCCTCTTAGATGAGAGGTGAAACATTTTCTTGAGAAAATGTCACATCCAGTTGCCTAACGGAACTCTTCAACCTTGACCTGGATGACTGAGAACCTTCATAGACAACTCTTTTCTTTATTTGCCTTCAAAACCTACAAACTCAGGTTTCATTTTAAGGTTAAAAACAAAACTCTTCTCTCAGCATTCTCCTTGATGGCCAGTCAGGTGTCATTCTGATGAAAATGCTTCTGTTACATGGAAACACTGGTTAAAAAAAGACGTAGAAAAATAACTTTGTTAATTTCATGTAGATTTTCTTCATTTCTACTCCATCTTGTTGGCTTTCTCTAGTCTACATGCTGTGCAGTTTTAACTGTTATTTTTGGTCATTTATTTATTTAAAATATAACAGGATTTTTTTTCCAGTGGATGATGACAGTAGGATGACAGAGACAGTAACCAAGGATTCAGGGTTTTTTTTCTTCTCTGAAAACATTTCTTAACTTATGGAACTAACAGGAAGACAATAACTTAGTGGTAAATAGTAACTAGTAATAGAAAACTTGTGTGTTAAAAAACATGTCTGTACATTTTCTTAAAAAACAAACAAATACAAAAACAAAACAATGACATGTCATTATATTCTGTGTATGTGCCTGCATGTGTGGCCCAGTCACGTGCTCCTTCTTCTGGTTCTGTACAGTATGTTCAACATGTCTCTCCTCATGGTCTCTTCAGATGTGTGCTGCCTACATATGTGTTCTCTATGCACAGCACGATGTAGTGGTTGGAGCAGGAGCGGGTGTGTTGACCCAACAGTCGTCCAGTCTGGAGCAGCGCCGCCTGGCCTGTCACTGCTATGTCTCCTGTCCTCCATGCCTCACAGTAGTTGGTCGTCAGGCGGACGCCGGCTATGCTCGAGCCGTGCCAGACCTGCTTCTCTGGCC